AGATACATCATGCTTAAGGAACGCCTTGTGAATACCCGGCACAGGACATAAAACCCGGCGCGCACAATCCCCCTCCGCCAGGTGGAAAGGAAAGGTATTCTTATTCCCTCGGCGGCCCCCTATCCCCCCCACCCTCCCGCGATGCCCTTCCCATCTCCGGCTTCCAGGTAAACACGCGCCAAGTCGACACTGTAATACTATGTGTTTGACCCGTAGATTTAATCCTCAGTAACGACATGTTTCTCTGATATAACTTTGCAACCATTGCATTACGATTATTTTCAAATGCATCACATGATTCAGTAATGTTTATAACTAGAAAATATGTATATATATATATATATATATATATATATATATATATATATATATATATATATATATATATATATATATATATCATGACTAATGGACACAATACTCAGGGTATAGGATGCGACCACGTCCTCGTCCCAACCTTGTCAGCGCCGTCGTAGCAAACAAGGAAGAAACTCTTTAGTAAACATGTCCCGTGTTTACGTCAGTCGCCCTCGGTGGTGCAGAGGAGATGAATGGAGGACGAAGGAAGGGCAATCGGCGAACCTGTCACTTTTCCTTTTCGCGCTTCAATACACACGTCTAAGCTATGACACTCCGGCTCACTGGCAAACTGTGAATTTATATTGTTGAAATATAAAGTTTTTTTAATCTTCTGTTTATGTCTTAATCAACATTTATTATCGTTTGATTATTCGTTTACTACCGGACCTAGTGCGGACTAAGAAAGACTGACATAAAGTGTACTTCGCTAATGAATATTGTATGGTGTAAGATCTCTGTGCTCAGCTACAGTGATAATGATATGAGTTTCACTAAAATTTATATACTTTATTATTCCACATATGAATAACATGCGAAGAAGCGTTTTTCATTACATGCATAAAGAGCAGATAAACAGTCCCCTGTTATAGATGAAAATACAGAGGACTCACAGAGCAAAGGAACTGTGCCCAGAAACAAACGAGCACTTGCAGTAACCGCGACATGCGTAGTGGGTGGAATAAACAAAGAAGGGAGCTGCAGGAGACCCCCCCCCCTCCCACGAGATGCCCTCGGCGGGAGATGGGATGGGCTAACGGCGTCTGTGCAAAGGCTCACTCTCACTCTCATTCGGCTCTCAGCAACGCCCCATCTCTTGTCGGCTTAAGGCGCCCGGCGGTAGTGTGGACATAAAAAGAGATCAGATGGTCCGTGAGCGATTTGATATCGGAATGACGTAGGGTTTTACACCTGGAAGCCTTGAAGATGTTCCCTTCAATGAATGGGTCTGGGCAGCGGGCCAATCAGGTGTCAGGAGGGAGGCACCTCATGTGACGTCACCACCCACGCTTGTTGCTCGGCGTGTGTGCCCATTCACTGGCATTAGCGAGTACTATCATACTACTTCTTAGATCAACATAGGCAACACAAATCCTCCTGCCAAGTAATCAGAAATAGAGAAAAACTGATTTTTTTCTTGAGATGTAAATTACGAAATAAGTACAAGCCATACATTTCACATAGGCCTAAGTTCGAGGGGTCCTTGAGGCGCCGCGGGGAGGACACGAAGAAAGGCGTCGTTTGGCCGAGATCGAAAGCTGTAGGCCTGAGCTGCACCCACTCCCTACTCTCATTGTTCAGGCGTCACCTCATTTGAATATTTCTTTACTTATAATCCACAGGAACATCAGAAAAAGGAAAAGAAAGCGCACACTCAGCAGGAAAGACGGAAGAGTGAAGGACAAGGAGAAATGATGTTTTTGAAAGCAGCAGCTGACCTTAAGCCGAAGAAGAAGGTTTATTCTAAATATACTAATTGTTTACTACTTTTTGTGATGTCTGGATTTAATGACTCTTTTTATGGTAGTATTTTGTTTGTCAGCGTTCCTATTTTCATTTACCATGTTAAGAAATGACTTGATATATCATCTGTCATATACATAATTAATAATCTGGTGTTTTATATGACATTTACCTAGACCTATAATACTCATCATTTGGTGTAAGATCCTAAAACTTGTCAGGGTGTGTTTTGTAAAGCTATAGATATTCAGACAAAGGAATAGAACTGTGTAATTCCTTACAAATTTATGCACACACTGCACAGAGGCTTGATTGAATCCACCCAACACATACGCATATATATAAACCTGATCAGTAACCCATGACACATAGCAACAGGAGATTATAATCCAGCTGGTTGTATGCATAGAGACTACATTCATTCTCTTTCTTCTCCCTCTCTCTCTACCGATATCCCTCCTTCCTCTCGGTCCATGTCTATCTGTTTCACTCTCTTTCTCTCTCACTCACTCTGTCTGTCTCTCTCTCTCTCTCTCTCTCTCTCTCTCTCTCTCTCTCTCTCTCTCTCTCTCTCTCTCTCTCTCTCTCTCTCTCTCTCTCTCTCTTTCTCTCTCTCACTCTCTCTCTCTCTCTCTCTCTCTCTCTCTCTCTCTCTCTCTCTCTCTCTCTCTCTCTCTCTCTCTCTCTCTCTCTCTCTCTTTCTCTCTCTCTCTCTCTCTCTTTCTCTCTCTCTCTCTCTGTCTCTCTCTCTCTCTCATTCTCCTCTCCACCGCAGTTTCCACTCTCTCTCTCTTTCTCTCTCT